CAGTATGGGTGCTGTTAATTTATAATCTAAATTATAGAGTTTATTCTTTCTTGTATACAGACATGTACTACGGTTATAAAATGCTTGGTTGACGTGCTTTGCTTCTTTATTTTTGTTCAAATTTAACTACTATGTTGTATATTTCCATTTTTTGGAACGACTTAGTTCTTTAGATTTTATGGGAACTGTAAATGATCTTTTAAATAAATATCTTGTTTGCTTCAATTTTTTTTGGGTTAATGCAAATCATTTTTGTTTGATGCGAGTTAATGTTGAAACATACATTTTTTTTAAAAAAGAATATTATATTCTGCTTTTTTCCTTAACTTTCTATCTGTTATTTCCTTGTTCATTTTAGTTTCTATTTCATTCTGAACACGCAGTGTATTGTGCCTTCAGGTCCTTTTAACGTCTTGTATGGTCATGGCTCCATTTACACCATTTTTCACCGAAGCTTTATATCAAAACTTACGGAAGGTTTCTGATGGGTCAGAGGAAAGCATTCATTACTGTTCTTATCCTCAGGAAGGAGGAAAGGTACTTATTATCAATAAATTTATATGCAATATAATTAGTAATTTCATTTTTGGAAATTATTTTCTGGGTGACAAGTTGTGGCACAAAGTCGTCGGAGTAGGTATGGTCCTCACTCATTTGAGTGGGTTGCTAGCAGGGGCACCATTTGCCTGGGTAATGACCTCTGGACAGCGAATCCCTTTGGTTTCCCTAAAAGTTTTAAATCGTTCTGTTGGGTATGGTTTGGGTGTTTTTATCGGGGGAAAATTGTTGGGTTTGTGATATGCCCTTTCAGAAGGTTTTCTTGCAATTGCATCACATTTCAAGTAAAAAGTTGCTTATGGCTTCTGATCTTTAATTCTTCCTCTTTGTTGCTTTGAGATTTTGTAACCCCCTTTCTAACAGAGAAGCGTTTGAGGTTGTGGACCTTCTTTCTCTTCTCTATGATCATCACATGCTTTGAGAGACTTCTATATTGTTTTTTCCATCATCCATCTGCTCCTTCCCTTGCTTCATTCTACCTCACTTTATGATATTTGATATTCTTTATTGAATGCCTAACTTAGAGAGGTGAAAGAATTGAAGAAAGTGTTACAAGGATGATGACAATTATTGATCTTGCTCGCAACATTCGGGAGCGTCATAACAAGCCTCTTAAAACACCTTTGAGGTTTGTCGATGCATACTTTCTGCTTCTTGCTGATTTTGTTCTATTTGCCCCCCTTTTTTTAAATATCTAATTCTATAATCTCATCAGAGAAATGATAGTGGTTCATCCTGACAAAGATTTTCTTGATGACATAGCCGGAAAGCTAAGAGAGGTATATATCTTGTAAGCTAATATCATATTTACTTTCATGATGAACTTGGAATGTCTATAGTCTCATTATAACATAAATATTTGTGCTATTCACTTGTACCTTTTGTTTCAGGTTTCATTATTAATTTTTATGCTTAACATTATCCTGTTGTTCTTCGTTTAATTTCTGATGGTTTATCTGCGCCTATTTTGTGCTGCAGTACGTTCTCGAGGAATTAAATATAAGATCTCTTATCCCATGCAATGATACGTTGAAGTATGCATCTCTTCGTGCTGAGCCAGATTTTAGGTATGAAAAACTCCCGTTCGAAACAATTTTCATCTGTTCGTCCAGAAGTTTGAATATGATTATTCTCTTCTAGTGTGTTGGGAAAGCGTCTTGGAAAAGCTATGGGAGTCGTGGCAAAGGAAGTCAAAGCAATGTCACAGGAAGATATCTTGGCTTTCGAGAAAGTGGGAGAAGTTACTATTGCTACTCATTGTTTAAGGTTATCTGACATAAAGGTATCTGCTTTCACTTTCAAGGCAGTAATTCTTGCTGTCCATTCTTGTTAAAATATACTATGATCTTGGATCGAGTAATTCATCTGTTCCTGAGGTCGATTTATAGGTAGACTTGTATGTATGTGCATGTGGAGGTACATATCTTTTGTGAGTTTCTTTGTAAACTCTGTACACTTTAGGGTAAGAAAGGCTTCTCTGTGCATTTTTGGGGGAATTGAGGCATTGATGTTGTCGGTATAACGTTGGTTTGTGCTAATTAAGTTATGTTAATTTGTAAAGTACCCTGAAATTCATTGTTGTCTTAAGGTTGTTCGTGATTTCAAACGACCTGATGGTATGACAGACAAGGAAATGGATGCTGCTGGGGATGGTGAGAATCGTTAACGAATCAGTGTTATTTAACTGTCTAAGGGTCTTTGATCTCACTAAGTTCTTGTTCTTCATTTTAGGTGATGTACTAGTGATTTTGGATTTACGTCCAGATGAATCTCTATTCGAGGCTGGTGTTGCTCGTGAGGTACCTTGCATGTTCTATGCTTGATCTCTATATCTGATATATTATGATCACGAATTTTTAAACGCTTTGTTGAGTAATTTTGCATTTGGGTTAGTTTTAGTACGAAGATGCATAACATTTAGGCTAAATTACATAAAATACCTCCAACTTAGGCCTTTTGATTCAATATTTGGAGTGCAAACAAAGTTCCACATTGAATTTTTATTTCCTAATTAGAGAAAAAGATAGATGTTATAGTCGCATCCTTTTATCATATTGTCAGCCAAATGTTGATAAACTTTGTTATTACATTATTGAGTTCTTTTTTATCCTAATTCACTAACTAGATTATCCATTTCAGATTGTTAATAGAATCCAGAAGTTGAGAAAGAAAGCTGCCCTTGAACCTACCGACTCCGTAGAGGTGTATTTTCGATCACAAGATGAGGATGCATCAGTTGCGCAGAGAGTTTTAAATGCACAGGTTGGTAGTTAGCTGCCTATTTTTGAAATTACCATCTCGGCTGCTTTACATCGTAGATGGCCTCGGTTCATGACTAACTGAAATGTATGCATCGGACAGGAACTATACATAAGCGAGGCAATCGGTTCACCCTTGCTTCCGTCTGCTTTGTTGCCTTCACATGCAGTAAGTTGCTTCCTTAATGTATGTCATGTCGACTCATTTAGTGAATCGTAAAACTGTTGGCGTTATTCCGGCTAGCTCGTGGATTCATTAAGTCGCCTTCCGTTTGAATCGTTTGATTAGATTTCTGTTCTCCATATTGGAGTGCTTAGCCTAAGCATGAAGGGGCTGGTGCCGTCTTCCATCATTTTTGTTATATTCCTTCTACCCGTGGTTGTTCTATGATACAACATTGTTTATAAGAGTGTGGGAACCTCTCCCTAGCAGATGCGTTTTAAAAACCTTCCGGGAAAGCTAAAAGAGGACAATATCTGCAAGCGGTGGGTTTGGGTTGTATCCATCATGTCGATGATACGAGCTTGTTGTGAAATTCGCAGGTCACGCTTGCTGAAGAGAGTTTCCAAAATGTAGCCGGGATTTCATTTTCGATTATCTTGGCCAGACCGGTACCCGTATTCAATTCGGACGCTGTGACTGCTCTATATAAAGGTATTTGCAGCATCTTTTGCTCTCTTTCTCTTTCTAAATCCGCCTCTCTCGCTCACATAAGCATGAGAACAACTATAGGTAACGAGAAATTCGCCCGAGCACTCGAGGTCTACCTGCTCTCGAGAGACCTCTCCAACTTGAAGACCGAGTTCTCTGGAAATGGCAAGGTTTGTATTCTTCTCCCAACTCGATGAAGTTTGCTGCTTTTACATCATACTATTTATGTTTAAATGAAAAAGCTTTTGATGTTGCTTTGGGTGAAACAGATGAGGGTTGATTACATTGATGGGCAGCCGGGTGTGGAAGTGGCACTGGGAGAGCATGTTTTCTTGACGGCCGGCGACAAGTTTCTGAAGGCCAAGTCTTCATAAACTCTGTTCTGTATACCTCCAAATTATTATCCATTTTCAACACTTTTTTACTTTTAATTTTATATTGGGATACAATTGAATCCCCTTGACATCACTTGCCTGCCAAAGTTTTGGGCGCACAATTTTGTATGAGAAGTGTATGCGAAGGTGTTTTTTTTTGTTTAATTTAAAATAGTTCTTGAAAAAATTGGGGAATGCTGAACTTAAAGTTGCTTAAAGAAGATTCATATTTCTGGATGTAATTTATATGGTTTGAATTAGTCCGTTATGTATCGTTGGTTCTAGTGGTTTTGCTATCTTTATAAAGAATGTTTTGTTTTTCTTTTCCACCGATGTGAGATCTCACAATTCACTCTCCTTGTTGGCCAGCGTCCTAGGTATATTGCTAGGTGTTGGCGTCCTCACTGATACACTGCAAGGTGTTGGCCAACGTCCTCACTGGTACACTGCAAGGTGTTGGCCAACGTCCTCACTGGTACACTGCAAGGTGTTGGCCAGCATCTTCACTGGTACATTGCTAGGTGTCTGGTTCTGGTATCAATCTCACTAGTACACTGCAAGGTGTTGGCCAGCGTCCTCATTGGTACACTGCAAGGTGTTGGCCAGCGTCCTTACTAGTACACTGCAAGGTGTTGGCCAGCATCCTCACTGGTACACTGCAAGGTGTTGGCCAGCGTCCTTACTAGTACACTGCTAGGTGTTGGCCAGCGTCCTCACTGGTACACAACTAGGTGTCTGGGTCTGATATCAATCTCACTAGTACACTGCAAGGTGTTGGTTGGCGTCCTCACTGGTACACAGCAAGGTGTTGGTCAGCATCCTCACTAGTACACAGCAAGGTGTTGGCCAGCGTCCTCACTATACACTACTAGGTGTCTGGTTTTGATATTAATCGTAACAGTCCAAGACTATTGTTAGTAGATAATGTCTTTTTAATCCATTATATATCACCGTCAGCCTCAAAGTTTTAAAACGTGTCTAGAGGTTTTATACCCTTCTAAAAAAATGTTTTGTTCTCCTTTCAAATTTTTTTTAATGATATATAAACTATATTTAAAAGTTTCGTGATACGAAAAAATATTGTTTCTTAATTCTCTTATACATTATTACATTATTTAACGTATTAAATCGTCCCAACAACTTTAATAAATGATCTTATAAATGATTGAATAGCATAGAATCCCCAGTCCCATTTGTTGTAGTGCTTCAAATAAGCCATCTTCCTTACAATGTCAAGCTTGGTGATGAGCATAGCACGCTCTTCAAAAGGCTCAAATTTCAATAGAAACAGCACTTAAATTTCTCATCATCTTCAACACGTTGTTTAAGAAGAGCTTTAAAGAACGTGCAAAACAAAGCTTCAATCTGTTTCCAACTCAAAGGTGGAATTTAATACTGAGAAGAGGATAATATCAATCCTTTTGAACCTCCATCCAGTTCAATTCTCGGTCAAATAAGAATTTACCAAATGGGTGAACCAAATTCAGCTGCTGCTTATAAATAACCCATTGTCTCAGTTCATCGAATCACTCAAACTAATGCATGAAGCTTTCTTGATTACTTAACAATGGCGGCTTCTTTCTTACCTCTTCTTCTTCTTCTGCTTGTATTTCCATTTGGGTCTGATTGTTTTGGTCTAAAAGGCTGCAAGTTCGATGCCATATTTCAGTTTGGGGACTCCTTGGCAGACACTGGGAATCTGATACGTGAGAACCCTGCAACTCCTTTCTCTCATCTTCCTTATGGCAAGACCTTCTTCAAGAAGGCCACTGGAAGGTGTTCTAATGGCTTACTCATGGTTGATTACTTTGGTAACTTTTCTTTACTCTTTGTTTTTGTTTGCTATCTCTTTGTTTAGCCTCTGTTCTCATCACAATTGAAGATAAAAAAGAGAGATTTTGAACCATATTACTGAGAGAAAATGTTATAGATGAAAGGGTCAGAGAAAGTTTTAGAAGACGTTTAGTAAGCCAGCCAACTAAAGTCTGAGTCATCATTGACACGAGCTATCTATGTTCAAGCCTCTAACCTCGTTCTTGAAAAAAGGTTTTAGATTACGGGTCAGAGAAAGTTTTAGAAAATGTTTAGTCAATCGACCAATTAAAATCTGAGTCGTCGTTGGCACGGGTAACATATACTCAAGCCTCTAACTCCGTTATTGAGAAAAGGTTTTAGAAAGGAGGGTCAGAAAAAATTTTCGATGGAAGAAAGACTAACCGTTCTTTTTCATTACAGCTTTGTCAGCTGGACTTCCATTAGTGAATCCCTACTTGAAAAAGAAGGCCTCATTCATTCATGGAGTGAACTTTGCAGTGGCTGGCTCTACAGCTTTGCCTCTAAACGTTCTAGCTCAAAACAACATCTCATCTCCAGTTACCAACACATCTCTAAGTAAACAGCTTGATTGGATGCGTTCCCATCTCAACACTATCTGTTCTAATAAAACAGGTCAGTTTTTGCTCAAATCTACACTGTTTTCCTCCAAAATCCCATCATTTTATACTAACTTTCATATATTTCTGTGCAGATTGTACTAAGAAGCTAAAACATGCATTATTCTTCATGGGAGAGATTGGAGGAAATGATTATAATTATGCTCTTTTTGAAGGCAAAACTGTTACCCAAGTAAAAGATATGGTACCTCGAGTTGTACAAACAATAATGGATGCTACTAAAGTATGATATCCAAACTTAGCTTGATTTAGCAACTCTCTCTGTTTTCGTTAATTACAATTCGTGTTCGTGTTTCGTGTTATGTAGAGGGTCATCAGTTATGGTGCTACTCGAGTTATTATCCCAGGGCACTTTTCAATGGGTTGCCTACCAATCTACCTTACCGGTTTCCAAACCAATGATTCAACTGTTTACGACGAGTTTCACTGTTTAAAGGATTTCAACGATTTAGCAAGTTATCATAATAGCAAGCTAAAACAAGCTATCAAGTTGTTGAAGAAAGAGAATCGAAATGTGATCATTACGTACGGTGATTATTATAATGCATTGTTTTGGGTTTTTCGACACGCTTCTTTGCTCGGTACGTTTCATTTTACCTAAGAAATCTTTTGAATGTTATTGTATGTTGTATCTGATTTGTGTTGTTTATAGGATTTGATAGAACATTGTTGCATAAGTCTTGTTGTGGAATGGGAGGTGATTACAGCTTTAATGTGATGCAAATATGTGGATTTCCAAGAGTGCCAGTTTGTTCTGATCCTGATAAGCATATTAGTTGGGATGGGATTCATTTGACACAAAAGACATATCAAATCATGGCTCATCGGCTCATCCATGATATAGCGCCAGAGTTTCATTGTGGAAATTAGATCAGTGGATAAAGTTCAGTATTTGGAGTCTCTTAATCATGAAGTTGTTGCTATGTTAATTAGCTTAAGTTGTTGTTTTTGAGCATTTGAGTCTTATGTATTTTGAGTTGTGATTGAATGAAGTTGTAGGCTTTTCCAAGTCTTTGCTTTCTCTTAAATAGTAGCGGTACCAGGGTACGAGAGAGACGGGGTGAGACACTTGTGAGGATTGAGTGAGATGGAGTCGAGATTTTGTAACAGCTCAAGCTCATCGTTAGTAGATGTTGTCTGCTTTAGCCCATTATGTATCAATGTCAGCCTCACGGTTTTAAAACGTGTCTACAAGGGAGAGGTTTCTACACACCTTATAAAGAATGATTTGTTTCCTTCTCTCCGACCAATTTGTGGGTGACGGATCGTGAGGTTGACGACGATATGTAACAGGTAAAAGTGGACAATATCTACTAGTAGTGAGATTGAGCTGTTATAAATGGTATCAAAGCAAATACCGAGCAGTGTGCCAACGAGAGCGTTGGGCCATTAAGAGAGTGGATTGTGAGATCCCACAGGAGGGGGAACAAAGTATTCCTTATAAAGTGTGAAATCCTCTCCCTAGTAAACACGTTTTAAAATCGTGAGGCTGACGACGATACATAAAGGGTCGAGGCAGACAATAACTACTAACAGTGCTCACAAGATCAAATAGTCTATCTTTTGCTCTTTGTGTATTTGATGGTATAAACTGCCAAACATGTGCTATCATAACGCTAGCTTACATGGAGGGTTGTAATAACGGAGAAGCAATAGTCTATCTTTTGCTCTTTGTGTATTTGATGGTATAAACTGCCAAACATGTGCTATCATAACGCTACTTACATGGAGGGTTGTAATAACGGAGAAGCAATTGAGCAAGATTGTGATGTTACTCCACTTCTTGATAACCAAACAATGAAATCTACAAGGGAAAGCTGATAGTGATAGGAACACGAGACTTTTATATTAGTATGATATTGTTCACTTTGAGTATAAGCTTTTATGGCTTTGTCTTTGATTTTTGTAAGAAACTTGATATCCATCGAATCTCCAAATTGGATATGATATTGTCCCCTTTGAGTGTAATCTCTTATGACTTTGTCTTTGATTTTCGTAAAAGGCTCGATATCAATAAAGATAATATTTTTTATTTATATTTTGAGGACTAGCGAACACCATCTAATTAAAAAATTGTATCACCTAATATAACTACACAAAAAGCTATCACCTAATATAACTACACAAAAAGCTAAGCAGAAAGTGATATAATTATTAGTTAAGGAAACGATGAAGGAGAAAGATTCAACAAACACCATCTAATTAAAAAATTCTATCACCTAATATCGAAAATGGAATCTTCAAAAGAAGATTTGAACAAATACAATTCAATTGAAAAACAGCACACATAAACGCAAGAGGTGACGCGCCTCCTCCAACCACTACCAGCCTCATAGGAAGCTTCCCCTTCCCCTTCACTGCACCCATCACTCTCCTCTCCTATAAATCAGAGCCCCCAACTCCTCAAATCCCACCAAGAATAGAAGTTATGGTTCAAACAATCAAGCTGGGGTCTCAAGGCCTTGAAGTGTCCGCGCAGGGGCTCGGCTGCATGGGCATGTCCTCATACTATGGCCCTGCTAAGCCCGAAGAAGACATGATCGCCCTCATCCACCATGCCGTCGCAAGTGGCGTTACCTTCTTGGATACCTCTGACATTTATGGGCCTTTCACCAATGAGATCCTCGTTGGAAAGGCTCTTAAGGCTACTGGGGTTAGGGAGAAGGTTCAGTTGGCTACCAAATTTGGACTCCATCTGGTTGATGGTAACTTTGAGGTACATGGCGAACCAGAGTATGTTAGGGCGGCGTGTGAGGCCAGCTTGGAGCGGCTTGGGGTGGATTATATTGATCTCTATTATCAGCATCGGATTGACACTAAAGTTCCCATTGAAGTCACAGTAAGTTAACCTTTTTCTCTCTTCACATACTCTTTGTTATTGAATATTAAGTATAACCATCCAACTGTTCTCTTTAGACTTCTTTTTTCTAACTATCCCTCAAGGTTTTTAAAACGCGTCTACTGGGGAGTGGTTTCCACACCCTTATAAACAATGTTTCGTTCTCCTCTCCAATCGATGTGGGATCTCACAATCCACCCTCTTCAGAGCCTAGTGTTCTCACTGACACTCGTCCCCTTCTCTAATCAATGTAAGACTCCAATCCACCCCTTCAAGGTTCAGCGTCTTTGCTGGCACACCGCCTCGTATCCATCCCTTCGAGGTTCAGCCTCCTCACTGACACATAGTGTCTGGCGGCTTTGATACTATTTGTAACCGCCCAAGCCTACCACTAGCACATATCGTTCTCTTTAAACTTGTCTTTTCAAGCTTTTTCTAGAAGATTTTAAAGCGCGTCGGTTAGGAAGAGGTTTCCACACTATTGTTTCGTTCATTCTCGTAACTGATGTGAGAAAAAGTTATCTATTCTCTAAACTGATGTGTGATCTCACACTAATGGTTTTCTTTTTAGATTGGGGAGTTGAAGAAACTGGTTGAAGAAGGGAAAATAAGGTACATTGGTTTGTCTGAAGCCTCGGCGTCTACCATTAGACGAGCTCATGCAGTTCATCCCATTTCAGCGGTTCAACTCGAGTGGTCTTTGTGGGCACGAGATGTCGAACAAGACATCATTCCTACGTGCAGGTATTGGAAAAATCTTTGTCAATGACATGGATAATCATAAACTGACTTTTGGTATGGTATGTTGATAGGGAATTAGGCATTGGAATTGTGGCGTACAGCCCTCTAGGAAGGGGTTTTCTATCATCTGGGGCCAACTTCGTTCAAAACTTAACAGAGGATGACTACAGAAAGGTGAAGACATAGCTTCCTTATTGAGTGTTCGTATAGTTAACTCAGCATCATAATTTTGAATCATTTGGTAATTTCAGAAACTCCCACGTTTCCAAGCACAAAACTTGGAGCACAACAACAACATATTCGAGAAAGTGAGGGAATTGTCAGGAAGAAAAGGATGCAGCCCATCCCAGTTGGCTCTGGCCTGGGTTCACCACCAAGGACACGATGTGGCTCCCATTCCCGGAACCACAAAGATTTCAAATCTTGATTCGAACATTGGAGCTTTATCGCTCAAACTTAGCCCACAAGAGATGGCTGAACTTGAAGCTTATGCTTTAGCTGATGGAGTTCAAGGAGGCAGATATGGCGATGACATTTCCACTTGGAACCAATCCGAAACTCCACCCTTTTCTTCATGGAAATTTTGAGCTCAGGACTGATCATCTAGCCCGCTACAATATGTCTATCTTTTAATTTTAATAAGGGTTCGATATGGATGTGGAAACATACAATCTCTTTACAAATCACGAGATATATATTAACTCGAACATTACTACATCCAACAGTATAAAACATTTCATTTCATTGTAGCGTTCTATCCTAAATAATTTTTCATATCATATGAGGGTGTGTTAGTGTGGTGTGTTTCAATATGAAAAAGCTATATTACTCTTATAAAATGATTATGTCTCCACTTTGTTTCTTTCTTTGTTTTTTAATTAGTTGACCTAATCCAAGGCTGCTTTAATGGTGAGGGTGTGGAAATCAATTTTGATGCCTTCTAGAATATTTAAGGAAGTTTTGCTTTTTTATTATTTTTATTTTTGAGATTTATTTAATTAAGTATTATAATTATATATAAATTCATAGAATTTTGGTCTCTAAATTTATTATTTTGGGTATAACAAAATTTTGACCTATTAAATATTTTTAAATTTTTATTGACTTATTAAATATAAAATTAAAAGCTTTTAAAATTTTAAAATTAAACTTAATTATTCCATTAAATACAAATTATTATTTTTTTTGGACAGATGAATTAGAATTATTCTAGCTTTTATTATTTTTTTAATATAATAATAATATGAAAATTTAAGCCCAATTTTCCCCAACGCAAAATAGATTAGCAGAAATCACAAGAGCTTCCAAGATGAACAGAGAAGAATATTACCTTCAATATCTCATCAGAATCTGCTTTCCTTGCCGTCTAAACTCGCCTTGCCGATTACATGGAAATCTCTTCCATTACCGCCGATCAGAGTGATGGCTCCAATAGTTCCTTTGAACAAGTTGCAGAGGAGACCACCTCTGATGGAGGTGAATCAATGCGGCTATCTTTAGATTCCCCGTCGTCTTCTCCGCTTCTGTTTTTTCGAGAGCCGCTGGAGTCTTGTGAACTCATTTCCTGCCTTCTTGTTGTCTTTGCTGAATCTTCAGATTCAAAGCTGATTCCGGATGGAGAGTTCGATTTCGATTGGTTACGGTTTTGTTTTCCGAGTCCGTCATTTCGGAGCGGTTTCGATTTCGGAGTGAAATTAGCAGGATTTGTTGCAATCGAAGATGTTGACGGTGAAGAACCGTTGTTCTGGCCGCTCGTACATAAAATCGATGAAGGATTGGGACTGGTTTTCGATTTCACCACGGGAAAAGGAGTTTAAATCTTCTGCTACGTCTCTGAACTCCGCTGGATTCCGATATCACGGTCGGCAATAACTATGAATCAAGCGCCGGAGAGGAGGCTTGTCTTCAACTCGAGATCGGCGTTGTCGGAGATGATGGAATTGAAGCAGAAGAAGTTCCGATCGTATCGTTGTTAGGGCTTCGTGAGTTCGATGGCCGCGAGGGATTCGGTTCAGAGTTTGACGATGTTCTGTTATCTCTCGATGAAGATGAAACGAGTAAGCTAAGCATGAACTTGCCATTGTATCAATATTTTTATTTTAATAAAAAAATAAAAAAATAAAAAACAACAAATTTAAATTAAATTAAATAGGAAATATAAATTCAAAATATGAGAAAATCAAAAATGTTTTTCTTAAAAAAAATAGATTCAATATACTGTGTGGTTGGGGAGGACCACAAAACATTCTTCAGCGGAAAAATTTATCGATAGCAGACACGTTTTAAAACAGTGAGGTTGACAGCGATACGTAATGAACCAAAATGGATACTATCTGCTGCAGTGGCTTGGACGGTTACAAATGGTATCAGAGTCAAACATCAGGCGGTATGTCAGCAAGGACGCTAGGCCCCAAAGGCGTGCATTATGAGTCTCACATCGGTTGAAGAGGGGAACAAAACATTCCTTACCAGGGTGTGAAAACCTCTTTCTAGCAGATGCGTTTTAAAATCATGAAGCTGGTGAAATGTGACGGGTCAAAGCTGATAATATCTGCTAGCAATGAGCTTGGACTCTTACAAATAATCTATCCACGGAGTCAACTCAATCTCAACCCTAAGTTTGACCTATTATGAGCTTATCTATTCAGAGTTGATCGAGGTCCAATTAGTACTTTAAACAACATACTAAGCTTTGGTTAATAGTAAGTATTTGGATGAAAAAGACTTCAGACCCGAAGTCAAATCAACTTACAAATTTGATAATCGACCAAGTTAAATGATTCTGAGGCCGAAGATAATGATCGGATTAAATTTTCTTCCTACCAAATTAGCCGTTAAAAGATTAAAAAAAATTAATTAGACCTAAAACACCTCTTATAAACTTAAACCTTTTACCAAAACATCACTAATCATTGCACACGTGGCAACCAAAGAGCAAAGGTCAGAGAATTTCCGTACACCTGCTGGTGAAGATGCCGATGAAACGACCGACCGAATCGCCACTTTAACGTCCACCGTTGACTTTCTAATCCCAGTCACACACTTCTACCGAGAATACCCTCGTCTTTTCCCTGTAATTACTGCAGTGTCAACCATGACTCTCAACTCAACCAATCCGGGTAAATTCGAAAATAGCGAGAAGTTAGAGGGGTAATGTGGACACTTTGTAATTTGGAGTGAAGGTCTTAATCGAAGCTTCTCTGTTCAGGTGTGAAAGTTTCTTTCTCGGCGTTGTATTCTTTTTGACTTTGATTGGAAACCGAACCGATATTTTCTTCTCTGAAATCGCGGAGTTTCCTAATGCCTAATCGTATCTCTGACTATAATACGTTTCTAGGTCTTCGATCGTCTCATAGTCTCCTTGGATTTTCCCTTCGCTATTGCAATTAGCTCCGTGGGTGAGTAGCTTTCTTTGCTTTCATGGGGTTTTTATTTCTCTATTGGATTTTGCTGATTGAGTTCTTTACGTATTTGGAGATTTGGGTTTTCTTGTTTTCTTGTTCTTCTTACATTGGGGAGCTGTAATTTTGTGTTCTGGTTCCCGGGTCCTTGGAATTTTGGTTGAGTAATCGAACTGTTTAGATCAGTGTTCTTGGCTCTTAATTGTTGTCATGTTTTGTTACTCTTCATCAGCTTAGGTTTCAGGGTGGATTTTGTAGATACAGAGGTTGAATTTCTAGTTTAAGCAGATATTGTCCTCTTTGGGATTTTCCTTTCCCCTTTCGGTCTCCCCACCCTTATAAAGAATGCTTCATTCTCCTCTCCAATCGATGTGGCATCTCACAATCCACCCTCCTTTAGGGCCCAGTGTCCTCGTTGGCACACCACCCGGTGTTTGGCTTTGATACTATTTGTAACAACCGAAGCTCACGTGTCTGCTAGTGAGAGGTTTCCACACCCTTCGTTCCCTTCTCCAATCGATGTGGAATCTCACAAACCACCCCCTTCAATACCCAGTGTCCTCGCTGGCACACCATCCAGTATCTAGCTTTGATACCATTTGTAACAACCCAAGCCCAATGCTAGCAGATATTGTCCTCTTTAGGTTTCCCTTTCGAGCTTCTCCTCAAGGTTTTTAAAACGCGTCTGCTAGTAGGAGGTTTCCACACCCTTATAAATAATGTTTATTCCCCTCTCCAATCGACGTGGGATCTCTAGCATAAGTTTTTCTTGATTTAAAGTAAGGAATACATCTCCATTGGAGGGAGGCCTTCCGAGGAAACCAAAAGCAAAGCCACGAGAGCTTATGCTCAAAGTGGACAATATCATACCATTGTGGAGAGTCGTGATTCCTAACCGTGCCAACTTCAAGCTTCTTAGACTTCTCTAATTGGATCTTAGGTGTCTATGGTCCTCCCTCCTACCATGGAAGGAACCCTTTTCTGGATGAGCTTACCCTATAGTAAATAAAGTTCTTTTTTCCTTTATAAAAACAGGATCTACATTTGGGCGTTTGTATTACGGTCTCGGGTCGGGGTGAGAATATTATGCTTGGTGAGTATTTAAACCACTGCTTGTTTATAAATTGACCTTACAATGCTGCAGGTATCTTCTAATTTCTCAAGATATAATGAGAGCACCATCATTGCTAGCCCAGTGCTTGCCTGGCTTGGTGCCCCAAGATAAAGGAAGCCACAGCAGTCCTTCCATTTCAGAGAGAGATGTTCATCTCCCCTCACCAGCTGTGGAGATTCTCCCTTCAAAGGCAATTCATTTATACTTCTCTTCCTGTTATTGCAAAGTACCTCTCATAACTGCGAAAAACAATTCAAGTAACGATTCCATTTGTTTTTGAGTTTTAACGCCTACGTTTGGAATACCATAACACTTCCTTAACCTCTATCAGACAGCTCTTCCATACAAATATGCAGGGGAGAACGTAGATTTGCAAGGTCTCAATGTCTTTAAGGTACTTCTTTCATTTGTTAGCAGTTATGCCAATTATTCTATATCGTGTGTTCATCGGATAGTTCGAGTATGATTCTTGCTTTTCCTGGATATGATTACTCGAACAAACTATAATGGAACGTTATCAGCAATTCGTAAGGTAAAAACCCTGCAGCTCTTCATTTATGCTAATTGGCGTCGTTCTCTCCAGGGTAGATTTAGCGTTGCCGATATAATGGGCTTGAATAGCTCGGAGTCTACATCTTCAAAACCTGAAGGTACTTTTATACTTTCTACAGTCATAGCTACCTGAGATCTAATTTTCTTTTTAAAATATGTTTTGAATCAAGAGTTACCATAACTTTTACGGTTATACATGTGTCGTTAAGGTTGAAATATATCTTTATTATGCAGGTCATTTGAAATCTTGGGACAGTTCCATGTATCTGGTTAATGTTCTTAAATATGAGATTTGTGATGGACAGCTGAGCTTTAGAGGCAAAAAAGTACTTGAGGTCATAATCCATTATAGTAACTTTAAATCAGGCGACCTTATTTGAATGAGATCTGTCATGTTCTTCATGTTGTAGTGTTCTTCAGGTCTAAGTAAAGTTTTACATCAGGTGTAATAATTATACACCTTGGGGCATGACTCTTATGCATTGCATTTTCTTTGTATGGTTGATGTATTGAAATTCTCTTCCATTCCAAAGTATGTTTATTGCATGATTAATTAGATTTCGAAACATTTTGTCTTGTGTAAATGATTGTTCGGGTGTGTTTCTGTAACAGCCCAAGTCCACCGCTAGCAGATATTGTCCTATTTAGGTTTTCCCTCAAGGTTTTAAAACGCGTCTGCTAGTGAGAGAGGTTTCCACACTCTTACGAAGAATGTTCCGTTCTCCTCCCCAACTGATTGTGGAATCTCACAATCAACCCCCTTTTAAGGTCTAGCATCCTGACCGACACTTGTTCCTATCTCCAATCGACGTGGGATCTCACAATCCACCCTCCTTCGAAGCCTAGCGTCTTCGCTGGCACACCGCCCGGTGTCCACCCCTTTGAGGTTCAGCGTCCTCGTTGGCACACCACCCAGTGTCTGGCTCTGATGCCAACTGTAATGCCCTTAATTTTTTTAGCCTACGGTGGGCTTGGGCTTGGGCTGTTAGTGGATTCCTCATTTCCTTCCCTGAATTTTATGAGATAGAATCTTTTCAAGCTTATCAAAGTGAGGACCCAAAGGGGCGAGGCAGGCACCATTAGTACATTTCTTATTAGTTCTAACGCTGACTTAAGTCATCGTGTTTTGTATCTTGTCGTCTCATTCAAGGAAGGACGACCAAGGCAATCTCTCTGTTGAACGTAGGATGCCTTCCTCTCTGTGCATGTGTTTTTCTCCAACTCTGCTGGGCCAAGTATATTGCTTGAATTATTACTTTATGTTAGATTGAGCATGGTTGCCCTTTCTATTATGCTATGTCAACATGTGGAGCCTTGGAGTGCTCTAATCCACTGAAACAACTAATAACACATCAGTCTGGGGTGTTGCTGATTTTTAAGCTAACCTCTTTAGTTGGTATTTGCAGCTGGGTTGTAGCTATGGACTTCCTGGGGTGTTTGCTTGCCTCAAGGTACCTTCAAACCATCTTTAATCCGTCTCCATACGTATATTCTTCGATAGTATGCACCATGTATGTTAGTAGCTAAATTTGTTTTTCTTACTTTGGTCGCTTATTTTCTTCCTATTATGAGCGTTCTAACTGCGAATTCAATTAAAGTTGTGTGAAAAAATTTCATTGAAATGTTCTTGTGGTGTGTAGTTCCTTCGTACAAATTACTCTAAATGTGGAGTTTGAATAGTTTGACAGTATTTAAATCATCATTGTTATGTATTCACCATCATTAATATGTTACAAAAAGATATAATGTAGACAAGGACTCTGAAGCAGCGTGTGAATACTTTCTTAGATGTTATCAATCCTTACTAAGATTTTGATAAAGATACATTGACATGATTTGTTATTGGGTTTCAACTATTTGTTTTGTTTACTAGCGTTCCAAGTCTTTGTAGTGTGCTTTCTCTGTGCGTAACTGTGAGATCCCACATCGGTTGGGGAGGAGAATGAAACATTTCTTATAAAGGTGTAGAAACCTCTCCTTAGTAGACGCGTTTTAAAACCGTGAGGTTGACGACGACATGTAACGGGTCAAAGTGGACAATATCTGTTAGCGGTGGGTTTGGGCTCTTACAAATGGTATCAGAGTTAGACACGGGGCGGTGTGCTAGCGAGGACACTGGGCTCCCAAGGTGGGTGGATTTGTGATCCCACCTCGGTTGGGGAGGGGAATGAAGCATTCCTTATAAGGGTGTGGAAACCTCTTCCTAGTAGACGCGTTTTAAAACCGTGAGGCTGATGACAATACGTAACGGGCCTAAACTGATGCATAGAAGGTTAATGTTGATATAGGGAATGGATTTTTGTTGGTTGGTTTGGAAGGAAATGAAAGTTGAAGTATGTTTGTTGTAGAATTATATAGAAGAGGTGTCATGGCTTTGCCTTTTATTTTTCAAGGAACTGTTCTTATACCTCAGGTTTCAATCTTCTTACAGGGAGCAAGCATAGTGCACTTTCAAGACATGAGTGCAGAAACTATTAGATGCACAACCATACCGAATGTCCTTGCCAATCTCGAACAAGCTCGGGACAGGCAGAGTCGACAGCCAGAGAGTCCCTTAACTCCGTCCCGACATGCTTTGACCCCATCAGTACATTTTTATGCTGGTGACTGGGAAGAGCTCCCAACAGTCTTATCTGTAGTTCGGGGTGATGGATTCGAAGCACCCACCGGAATGAGCTTGAGCTTCTCAGAAGAAGATTTTATGGATGGTTGCAGCAGTCAAGACGGTAGCATCATCGGCCACGAGTCTTCTTCAAGAAGATCGAGGAAACTATCAGCAAGTCGAGCATGGGAGAGGGCTAACGAGATCGGTCAGGAAGAAGGCGGATACGATATCGTTTTAATGGCAGAAATCCCGTATTCACTCAACTCTTTGAAGAAGCTATATGCACTGATAAAAAAGGTAATTCTCTATACGTCGAAGACTAAAAACAAACGTCTAATACCTTTGAATTAATCATCTCTTTGGTTGAAAATTAGTGTGTGAGGCCTCCTTATGGAGTGTTGTACTTGGCCACAAAGAAGAACTACGTCGGTTTCAATAACGGAGCGAAGCATTTGAGGAGTTTGGTCGATGAGGAAGGCGTTTTTGGAGCTCACTTGGTCGAGGAGATGACGGACCGAGAGATTTGGAAGTTCTTTCTCAAGTGAAAGAATGGAAAAACAGGACAAACTGTTGAAGAAGTCGATGTTCATCACAAAGTATATGTTTTTTAATGAAGTTGTCTTGGTTAGAATGGGAGTTGTTTAGTCAGTGGAGCATTTGTTTTGCTTCTTTGATTGTATAATCTGTATTGTTCTTTCTTTCTTTCTTAATTTCTTGTCAATTTTGTGAGGATTCTCCTTGCTATTGCTAGTAAATCAATAATTGAATGCCCTTATTGCCTTTTTTTTTGTTGCATTCTTCTTATCATTTTGTTCGGATAAGCTTCTACACTCATTTTGTAACTATTCAAGTTCACTGTTAACAGATATTAATCGATTTGTCCCGCTACGTATCGCTGTCAGCCTCACAGTTTTAAAAACATATATGAGGGAGAGATTTATACACTCTTATAAGGAATAGTTTGTTCCCCTCTCTAACTGATGTGAGATCTCACAATCTACCTCTGGGGCCCAGTGTCCTCGTTGGCACACTGCCCAATGTCTGGCTCTGATACCATTTGTAAATAGCAAGTCCACCATTAAGAGTTATTATCTCTGGCTCTGATACCATTTGTAAATAGCTCAAGTCCAACACTAAGAGTTATTATCTGCTTTGGCCCATTAAGTATTGTCATTAGCTTTACAATTTTAAAAGAGCCCAACATTCTCATTGGCACACCCTATGTGTCTGGTTTTGATACCATTTGTAACAGTTCAAGTCCATCGCTAATAGTTATTATCCACTTTGGTCTGTCAAGTATTATCATTAGTCTCATAATTTTAAAATACTTTACGAATTGATTTTCACGTTTTTATAAGAAATATTTCGTTCCTCTCTCTAACCGATGTGGGATCTCACACATTTAATTAATAATTTGTATATGACACAATATCTAACACTTAAAAAGTGTGAATAAATATACAAACCTGAAAAAATGAAGTATTATACCGTAGTTATATAAATCTATTTAAACTGAAATAACTCCGTCTATTTAAACGGAAAACTACTCAACATGCAACTAACTTGACTAATTTAAAAAAAAAAAAAAAAGGGGAATGTACAAACCTTCATCATTAATAACATCTTGCAATTTGGAGCTTTATTCAATGGATAAGGTAACCATAATTTGATAGCTCAATCCAGTTGAAGAAGATATCAATCTTTGGCATCTTGAGAGATCTGGCGAGTGGCATTACAAAAGGCATGTAGCCCAAATACCCATTTTGATCACCCAATCTGCGCCTTCCACAAACCAAATTTTTGGAATTTGTAGCCAGGAAGGAGGCTGGACCCTTTTTAAATTGGATTCTTCTACTTCTACCCATTACAATGTTTCTTGCTTGTCCTATTCGGAACTCGGCGCTTTCGATTACATTTGCGCGAAGAATTACATGCACTGGCATGTCGAAACGAAGTTCATCTTCCATGCCAATAACCTCAAACGAATCCCCTCCAGGTCCAGCTCCCTAAGAACTTCTACTCAACCATGTTTTCGACGTTAATCTTTGTGTATTTCTTTACTGGGTCTTCACTACTTTTAGGAATTTCAGGTGTTCAATCTTCCAATGGCGTTTCTAAGTCTGAAACTCGTGTATTCGTGAGGAGAACAGTGAAAAAGAAGGCAGAAGGTCAATATAGCGGGCTTGACCTAGAACTTAAAGACGACGTTAAAGTAAGTTCTTCATCAAATGGGTTATTTTAGCTTCAGATGATCGTTCTTCTGGCGAGCTTGATTATGTTTATGCAGTCATATTACTCTCTCTTCAGTCCATACACCCTGTTTCACTCACAATTTAATTGATGCATTCAGTTAATGCAAAGTAAGCTCATAAACATTCATAGCTAATTTCATATGTTTTCACTCAGAAACTTGTTATTTGATCCTTTGGAGATAAAGGTATTACATGGTGCAAGTTAATAATTTAAACTTCTAATCTTTTCCCTCTACAGCGTTGTTGTCCTCCTGATATTGAAGATTTTGCATTCAAAAGAACAAAGGATTCCCCCGGATCAAGTAATTTCTTACCTTAGTAATACTTCAAGATGCAATATGGACTGATTTTTATCCAAAGAATATAAAGTTCTTATGGCCTCTTTACCTTTTTGACTAATTGTAAGGGGAAATATGCTTTTACACATGTAATATGAAACTATTGTCTCCCCTGCAGGGAAGTCTAAGCCTCCTCTAGATACCCTTCTCCCCAGAATTGAAGATTCTAACCCAACTAGACAAAAAGGCGTTGCAGAAGGAGGTGAGTGATAATGTATTTAGCAGCGAACGTTTGATCTCCAAGAACGAATGAGATAAACAATGCTAGTCACTAATTTTTTACCATTAAGGGGTTTCCTTTGTGTATTTATTTTTGTTTTTGTTTCCTAAGAAAAAGCTGAATTACGATATAGGTAAAACCCCTGTGGATTGGGAAAAAGTCCTTGAAGGAATTCGGGAAATGAGATCGTCTGAAGTAGCTCCAGTAGACACCATGGGATGTGGGCGAGCTGGTAGTACTCTTCCTCCAAAGGTACATTCCCCATTTCAAATGGACACCCTAGCTCGAGTTTGCATAGTCGTATACTGTTGAGGATTATTGGGAGTAAGTCCCACATTGGTTAATTTAGTGGAAGATCATGGGTTTATTAGTGTGGAATACTATCTCCATTGGTATGAGGCCTTTTGGGGAAGCCCAAAGCAAAGCCACTAGAGCTTATGCTCAAAGTGGACAATATCATACCATTGTAGAGAGTCGTGATTTCTAACATAGTATCATAGCCATGCCCTAAACTTAGCCATGTCAATAGCATCCTCAAATATCGAACAAAGAATTGTGAGCCTCGAAGGTGTAGTCAAAAGTGACTAAAGTGTCGAACAAAGTAGGGCTCCAGAGAAAGGAGTCGAGCCTCGATTAAGGGAGGCTATTGGAGAGCTCCATAAGCCTCAGGGGAGGCTTATAGTGTACTTTGTTCGAGGGGAGGATTGTTGAGGATTATTGGGAGTGAGTCCCACATTGGTTAATTTAGTGGAAGATCATGAGTTTATTAGTGTGGAATACTATCTCTATTGGTATGAGGCCTTTTGGAGAAGCCCAAAGCAAAGCCATGAGAGCTTATGCTCAAAATGGACAATATCATACCATCGTGGAGAGTCGTGTTCGTCTAACATATACTTCTTTTCAAGATTCTATAGTCATCTCATGTTTGTACTTAAATTTTTAGAGGCATGGTGGATGTTAACTTGTTAGCCTTTTGTCTTCTATCTTTCTTCCCGTGGCACCAAATTAAATCTTTCAAGTATTCTAAAATGCTATCTCTAGCACAAACGCTAATTTCGTTGATGCACCGTGAAATCTATAAATTTATCAATAATCAGATGTGAAGATGATATGGTAACCTTCTTATTACCGACTAAATTACCTGTTGATCTTTAGAAGTACACCCTTGTGAATGATAGTGATGATGGTGGATCCGGTCACCACAAAATTTTCACAGAGTTAACAGGGGCACCAAGTAGCCAGCTAAGGTTCTTCAGTAACACACTACACGTTCTATTGTATTTTCCCTCAATGGCCTTGCAGGCACTAGATACTGATGACACAAAACCCACTGTTCTTTATATTTTGTATTTGATATCCGATTATATGAACCAATAACTACAAATTTTACTTCATTTTTAATAGGAAAGAAGATTTGCTGTCTTGGCATCTTCTCTTCTCTCAAGCCAAACCAAAGACCACGTAACTCATGGCAAGTTCTTGTACTCTGAAATTATTAGTATATAGAGATGTTCTTCTGTTTTTTTTCGTAAGAAACGGGTGTATCTTAACCTGCAGCTATCAAATTCTCCTCTTTTTCCGAACTTTCCTTTACACGTTTTCATGATTCTAGGTTTCCTTTACACCTTTTGTCCACTTAGGCTAATTACGTATCACCGTCACTCTCATGGTTTTAAAACACACACCTACTAGGGAGAGGTTTCCACACTCTTATAAGGAATGCTTCGTTCCCCTCTCCAACCGATGTGAGATCTCACAATCCACCCTCTTGGACGCGTTTTAAAACCTTCAAGGGAAGCTCAATGAGGACAATATCTTCTAGCGGTGGGTTTAGACTGTTACATTGACAAACTACCTATGCACTACCATCACTAACAGTACAAATCGATTTCTCAAGCTGTCTAATCCTGCTATGTGCAAATCTGTTTGGGTGCAGGAAAGTTTATCAAGAAACAACAACAGACTCAGAATGATAATGAAATTAGAATGTCAAAATTTTATATTTTGAAAGTAAACTTTTACGTCCCAGGGGCAGTACGTTATTTGTCGTTGCTGCCCGGAGATATTAATCTCTCTCTCTTCTAATATTTTCTTTAATTGACAAAAGATCTTTCAGGAGTGCAGGAGCAGCATTGCGTCTCCAAGAAAGTGGTCTTCTTACAGCTGATGCCATGGACAAAGCTGATGAATCAACCATTAAAAGCTTGATTTACCCTGTACGTTTTCTTGGAAATTATTGAACAATGGCACATAAATTTCCCCATTGCATTTGAATCACATGAATAGAGAAATCTGAAAAATAGCAGTTGTATACTGTGGCTGTTCTGTTCTTGTTGGTGGGGCAGTTTCATTTTCTGTCTATAATTTAGAGTTTTTTGTATCCATCTTGTAGGTTGGATTTTATTCTACAAAGGCTAAAAATTTGAAGAAGATTGCCAAAATATGTCTTATGAAGTATGGTGGGGACATACCTAGATCATTGGAGGAGCTACTTCTACTGCCTGGGATAGGCCCTAAGATTGCACATTTGGTATGACAGATTGTGTATTATTATTAGAAAAGAAGGAACTTATCTTGGTAATGGGCCTGCTTCTCATGGCTCCTCATCATGTTTCATGTGGCATTTAGATCATGATTATGGCGTGGAACGATGTTCGGGGGATATGTGTCGATACTCATGTTCATCGCATTTGCAATCGGCTTGGATGGGTGTCTGGGAAAGGCTCGAAACAGGTAACTGTGGAATTTGTACTGGACTCTACTTGTTTTCTAACATGGATGGATTCACTTTAGATTCGTCCTTAATGGACTTGCCTCCATCAAATGAATCAAATTCTTCCTATTAATTTGAAGTATGCCACGCCTGAGTATCAACATCAATTCCATTAATACTAGTAGAAGGATACCTTACATCAAAATCTGTCTGTTCTAAGTGAGGATGCTCTCAAAGTAAATTAGGAGATTTTGATTCTGAGGAGTTTGGGTAAGGTTAAGGTTGCCATCACCCACACAGATGGTGTGTGATAATCAAGCTATAATGAGTATCACTAAGAATCTTGTTCATCATGATAGGACAAAACGTGTTTGTAACAACTCAAGCCCACTACTAGTAGATATTGTCCGCTTTGGCCCGTTACGTATCGCCGTCAGCCTCACAGTTTTAAAACATGTCTACTAGGAAAAGGTTTTCACACCCTAATAAAGAATGCTTTGTAACCCTCACTCACCGATGTGGGATCTCACAATCCACCACCTCCTTTGGGGTCCAGCGTCCTTGCTGACACACCGCCCAGTGTCTGGCTGTGATACCATTTTGTAACAGCCCAAGACCACCACTAGTAAATATTGTCTGCTTTGGCTTGTTATGTATCGCCGTCAACCTCACGGTTTTAAAGTGCGTCTATTGGGGAGAGATTTCCACACCCTTATAAGGAATGTTTCGTTCCCCTCTCCAATCGATATGGGATCTAGGTCAAAATATGTTGAATTCTCTTGGCACTTCATCTTAGAAAATATCAATTGTGAAGTGATTCAACTCCATTATGTTCCTACTAAGCAACAGATAGTAAGTATTCTCATGAAGTCATTACCTAAACCTAACTTGCTATAATTTGTATAGTTCTTTTCATGGCATTGCTATAATTTGTTTTCTTCTTTCCTTTGCTAGAAAACTTCCTCTCCTGAAGAAACTCGAGTGGCATTAGAACTATGGCTGCCAAAGGAAGAATGGGTTCCAATTAATCCTCTTCTGGTATGTAATGTTTGTTTACAAATAGTTCCTGTCCTGAGAACCATGATACAATGAATTTGACACCATTATTTCCTTATAAACGTACTTGGTTAAACGCAGGACTGAATATTTTTCCCTGAATATTAGTATTCTTTAGACTGTTAAACGTATCATAATTGTGCATTTATATATCCCTATCCGTATTCATACACGGTGTGAGATCCGACATCGGTTGGAGAGGGGAACAAAACATCCTTATAAGGGTGTGGAAACCTCTCCCTAATAGATGCGTTTTGAAAATCGTGAGGCTGACAACGATACGTAATGGGCCGAAAGCAGATAATATCTGCTAGTGGTGGCTTGAACTATTACAAATGATATCAGAGCCAGATATCGGGTGGTGTGCCAACGAGTTGAGGGTGGATTGTGAGATCTCACATCGGTTGGAGAGGAGAATGAAGCATTCTTTATAAGAGTGTGGAAACCTCTCTCTAGCAGATGCGTTTTAAAAATCTTGAAGGGAAGCCCGAAAGGAAAAGTCCAAAAAGGATAGTATCTACTAGCGATGGGCTTGTGCTGTCACATGATTTTCAAGTCCTAACAGCTAACAGGATATTGTTACTACTTGCTGAAGTAGCTTTGATCATCTGTAGTTCTATCATTTGTTATTACAATTATGTTCATTTTTTGATTGTTGCCATGATATATAGGTTGGATTTGGACAGACTATTTGCACTCCCCTGAGACCCAAATGTGGAAATTGCAGTGTTAGCCACTTGTGTCCATCGGCATTCAAGGAGACTTCAAGCCCATCTCCCAAATTAAAGCGTTCAAGTTCCACCAAGTAGCTTTGATCATCTTTTTGTATGAATTCAAAGGCTTAGCAGCCGCACATTTCCTTGTTGGGGGATTTCATTGGCCATTTTTGTGTAGAACTAACCTTGTTATTGATATATCAATGTTCTTGGAACATATATTTTGACAAAACTTTCACAACAATGTTTGGCCATTCATTAGGAAGAATTAACTAAATGTCATTGGTTTTAATTTTATGACAAAACTCTTAATATCCAAGATATCATACCTGATATATTATTTCACATATATGATATCATGTCCAATATATGATATACGTTAGTACAAATCACGAGGAATTAATGATGTTGAATGTACAAAACTTGGTTCGACATTACGTATTTTCAGCATAAGAGCGAAACAGAAAGTAGCTCACCATTTAGCAACAAACAAGTTCGTATTTTTTATTTTTATGTTTTTTTGGCAACATCACGTTGAATTAGAGTTATCTTTACTGGCCTGAGTATAATCCTCAATATTTGGTCACTAAGAACTGTGTATCTTTAATCCAACTCTCAACAGAGGACATTAAAAGGAACCTCATGATGGCTGAAAGAAGCTGATGAATTGGCCTTGCTGTTACTGAGGAAGCTTGCTCTTCTTCCAGAGCCAATAGTTAACACGGATTGGATCGACACGTTCCAAGATTAAGCACACAGTGTTGGCTAGGTCGGGATCTGTTGGACTGTCGTCTGGTGTCCTCAAAGCATCAACAGCATCTCTTAACTCTTGGCTTGGTTGGAAACCATGACAGAGAAGATTCATCAGGGTGCTCAAAGCAAATACGAAGTTTCTTTTACCGCTCAAAACTTTCAAGCAGACGGAAGAAACTTGTGGGGCAGTAATCCATGAGTGTGTGTCACCGGAATAAAGTCCGCGCAGATATCTCCAAGAACTCTCATTTTCAGGATGAGCAAGAATGGCTTCAACAGTATAACTCACTTCAGACTCTCTCATGGCTTTTAAGCCACCCAGTAATGGAGATCTGGTTATGACAAAGTATCTCTACCACAAACAACATAAAAATGCAAGAAGAATTAAACTAATAAGTTGAGAATGGTTAAATTATAGTAGATCATTATCCAATATTTTATATGAAAGACAATTATGTGTCTAAAATAGAAATTTATAACAAAACCTTGAAATATATGGCATTCGTGACAGGAAAAATTCAAGAAACTTGACCAAACTAAAGGATGAAAAGAATAAAGTAATTTCATGCCCCACGGAAAAGTTTTAATTATATAAAAAAAATTATTAGAAAACAAGGCAATGAGTCCATTAACACCAGGGTTTCTCTGTGTGTTGCTCCATACAAATTTGTTTCCTGAAAGATGCTTTTGTACTTCTTGTTTGGCATGCGCAAAGAACTAGTAAATAAGAATCTAAAAAGAAACAAATGTTTCAATCCTTGGGAGCATGGCAGTATAATATCCATGCCGAGAAGCTTCAATTTATACTAATTTTTCTAACCTCAGAATTGCATGTTAGGAAGGAACAAAGGATTAGCTTGTCATGAATTTATTTTCTTAATCTAGATGAAGGCTTTTGAGACAGACAATAGGCATGCCACCAAAAATGTGACACCGATCAAACAGAATCCCCAATCTAATTGGTAAAATTGATCTTTTTGATAAAATGGTAAAATAGAATCCCCACCAAGACTTTCGAAGGGGCATTGGCATTTGGTTAACTACAAGAGGGTTATCCATCGACTCATGACCCATTCCTATAGTTTTTTTTTTTTTAAGGTTAAATTACACATTTAATATCATTTGTGTCTATTTGGTCCTAAAACGTTAAAAAGTATCTTAACAGATTTTTTTTGTATCTAATAGGTCGTTGACCTATTTGACATTTTCAAGGATAAAAATGGAAAGAAACAAGACAAGTTCAAGGATACAATTTTCCTTAAGGGGGCTTCCCTGTTTTGTTTTCTGATCTTTCATCATAGTTCTAGGCTGTTACTTCTTATGTTGTTTGTTGGCACCATTCATCTTCAGGATCTGATTATTCCAACTTATACCTAGAATACTTTTGAATCCATTTATACATCTTTGTTGTCGTAGGTTATCAATTCCATAATATTCTTAGTTTCAAGCAGCAATTTTTACATTTTTACCCATAATTGATCGATGCCCACAGTCACTAATCTAATACCAATTTGATGGTTTAAATTAATAGAAATATTATTGATATAAAAAAATACAATTATAAAGTACCAAGCACTTTCGAGAGGCCCGGTGCCCTCCCAAAGTCTGCCTAACATCCCGGTTAGTTATATCTCAAGCATGTTGTCCATTATGTATACAGAATATGGAAATGTGCTTTTGCAAATGACTTTTGGAGCTACACATTATATACTTTTGGCTGGAATTTTGTTGGCCTATGCAGGCATATTCTCCCTTTTCTCTTATGTGTTACTTGGTCACCTTCAAAGATGAGAAAAAGACTCTTAGCTGAAGTACATGAGAGCTTTCCTAATTATTCATGATAGGGCCGTCCCTCTTCAACAATGTGAAGCATGAATTCTCATCTTGGAGCATGCTAAATCCTCCTTTTTGTAATTACAGTTTATCTACTCTCATTACCCATTGAACTAGCTTCTTGTAATTATTCATGATAGGGCCGTCCGCGGATTCCTTCTCCTCATTGTCCTTAAGTTTCAAACATCATCATCTTTCTGATAAAGATACGTTAGATGTTGCAGGCTTACTTTCTATTCTCCATGATCAACGCTTGTGCGAGGGAGTAGGGACTTCAGGTTTTTTACCCCAGATTATTTTGGAGGCTTCTCTTGCGTTCTTTCTTTCATTTGTTGTCTGTCCCTTTTCCACCTCAGTTCACATTTTCTTTCTCCTCACTCTAGGAGGTTAAAATCCCTAGGAAGAAGTTTTGTGTAACAGGTTTTACATGGGAGGGTCAATGCCATGAACTGAGTTCAAAAGTATTCTTACTTGCGTTGCTCTCATAGTAGTGGATCCTTGGTAGGCATTGGTCAAAGGAATTGCATCATCTGTTGGGGGGCTATCAGTTTGTTCAAACTCTCTGGTCTTGGTCGCTGAACTTGTTCGATTTATGTTTTGTGTGGAATTGGAACAGTTATGCTAAGATTCCATACGTGATCTTGAGTTCTCCTTTTCAAGAAAAGGGCAAAGTTTTTTGGCATTCTAGTCTTTTTTTTCGTTATTTATTATTATTTTTTTTTTTCCATTTTGTGGGGTGTTTGGAAAAAGAGGAATAATAGAGTCTTAAGAGGGGTGGAAAGATCGTGTGACGAGGTTTGGAAGGTGGTAAGGTTTGATGCCTCCTTGTGGGCGTCCGTCACTCGGCCATTTTATAATTATGATCTTAGTTTGATTTGAATGGACTAGAGTCCCTCTAGTAGGTAGTGTTTTGGGTCTCCTTTTGTCGGGCTTGTTTTTTTTGTATGTCCTTGTATATACTTTTTCATTTTTCTCAATAAATGCTTGACTTCTTACCCACAAAAAAAAAAAAAAAATACAATTCACCATATTACTGATGTGGTTTTGTTTCCTAAAAAAATTATAATAGATTATAATAAATAAATAAAAGTCTGCCTAAATTCCCAGCTCCCAAAGCCATTATATTTTTAACCACCAAACTCAAACAAACCTATCCGTAAAGTCCTAATATCTTATGCCAAAAATACTATATTTTTTACCACCCAGCTCTACATATATTCCTAATGAAGTGCCTCTACATCTACAAATGCTTCCTTTTCCAGGTATTTGGGTTTAGTTCAAAGATAAAGAAGCAGATATAAAACATGTCGCTAACCTGATTCCATGCAGAATTATTAAAAACATCTTCCTCTAGGAGCTCGTGACAATAGTCAAGTTCATCTTCCCATCCACCCAGTGCCTGAAGAACCCACTGCATTAGAATTAACAAAACCATGTCAATAAAATCTGGATGGAAAAATAAAGCCAAAGTTGCATTGCTTAGATTAAAATAACAATAAACTGTAGTAGATTGGAGATCAAACCTGTCTATGAGACCAGGCATGATAATTTTTGGAATCAAGAGAGAGAATATTTTTGGTGAATTCAATCTCTTTTCTTGAAGCATCAGTTCCCAGCTTCTGAGCAACCCATCGCCTATGGTGCCTGCAAAGATATTTCACAAAAATTAATGCAGGCCTATACTGATAGAAGAGAGGATAAAAAGAACAAGTAGGTCAAAAATTTAATGTTGGACGACATTCACAATCTCAATCACTAAAGTTTCAAGTTTATTTTTTCAAGTTCAAAGGTATTTTTGAAAAAAAATACTGATGGTTTCCTTCCAAAAACTAACAGTAAAGTAATTTTTAGTTTATTTTTTTAAGTTTAAGGGTATACTTGAAACTTTTGAAAGTAAAAGGGTATGTTCTATAATTTTTATGAGAAAAACGAACTTTCATGGAGAAAGAAATGAAAGAATATAGGGGCATACAGAAAAATAAGCGCACAAAAAGGAAGCCAACAAGAAGGAACTTCAGTCCAATAAAATGACACCTAGAGAATAATTACAAAAAAGCATAAACAATGACGCCCCAAGAGAACAAAGACTATAACAAAGGACCAAACATAACTTGATGAAATCTCTCTCTATCTCAAGATTCTATTGTTTCTCTCGCTCCACCGATGAAATCTCTCTCTCCTCTTGAAAATTCTATTGTTTCTCTTGCTCCACCGATAAAATCTCTCTCTCCTTTTGAAGATTCTATTGTTTCTCTCTCTCCACATCCCCCAAGAAATAGTACAAACTCTAGCCTACTACCGAAAAAAAAACTTTTCTCGAGAAAACCTGTTTGAACTACAAAAAGATTTTTATTTACTGCAATTACCTCCACCTCTGAAAAACAAAAACACATCTTGCAAGGCGGCTTTATTACCAGGCAGGCCAATGTCATTTCCGGCTCTTGAAAGAAAGATGAAATATTACATATAATTTGATTGTGATAACTTATCGTAAGAAAAAAGCTACAATGCTTTCATATTTTAAGTTCGATTAAGTAAACTAGTCTGTTCTATATCTTAAATGCAGCCTAATATCAAGCAACAGATTAAAAATTTGAATAAAAAGGAAAAACTTCAAGCTCATTAATTCAAACATTAGACTGACCATATCTGATAGTTTTTGGTGTTAGACTCAGCAATGTCATCAAGGAAATTTAGTTCATCATGTAAGTTAACATTAAGAGCCTCGAGTATCAAGCGCCTGAAATGCCAGACCTGCAAAGAAGAAAAACTTCATTAACCTACTTATAAAGAAATTAAATGAACCACCTTATACATAAGCTCATTACAACAAGTGTAGGTTTTAGAATGATCTGTATTTAGGTTGAATTAAAAAGTCTACAAGCTTTTAATGAAATTAAATGAAGTTTGAATTTAGTTCGTAAGGCTGACTTGACAAGTGCTGCACTCCTAATACGTAATAATTCTTTCATATCAAAGGATTTTCCAAGACAAAGAAAGAAGCCTGGAGGAATTATTAGATCTATCCATCTTTATGGCTTTTTTATTGGTGTAAAAGCTTTTCACCTTTTTGCAACCATAGCCTTAGTGTTCTCATATCCATGTGGAGATTTTTTTTTTTTTTTTTTCTTTTTTCTTTTTGTAACTTCACAGGATAGTTTTTTTTTTTTTTTTTTTTT